TTGCTCATAAATTATTCAAATTAATTATTGAATTATTTCCTTAATGACTCAATCTTTTTCCTTGTCTTTTTAAACTTAACATACAGCACTACTATATTATTAAATATTATTAACTATTAGTACTGTTAATATTATACTATTATTGTGAATCACTATAGTCAGGGGTGGGACACAGATGTTAGCATTACTGCCTTGCAGTGCTGGGGCCCTGGGTTTAATTCCTGAGTGTTATCCGTGTGATGTTGGTTTGTTCTCCCTGTGTTTGTGAGGGATTTCTCTGGTTGCTCCAGTTTCTTCCCACAGTCCGAAGACATACTGATAGGTTAGCTGGCTTCTGGGAAAATTGGCACTGTTGTGTGTTTGTTGGTTGCTGAGATAGGCTGTGGCTCTCCATTGACTCTGTATTGGATAAAGCAGTTAGAAAATGGATAGATGCACTGTAGCCAGACTCTGATTGTTAAATCACTATGTGTATGAATCACTGTTTATTGCAAACTTTTATTTGCTTTCTTTATATATACAATTGTGCACCCTGTTTTCAATAAGCTTCGTCGTCTGAAACCAAGGCCTTCAGTAGTTATCCGTTTTAATCTTGAGTTACGCATTTAATTTAAGTCTGTGCTTCTCTTCCTGGTTTTGCACACTGTGACGAAAAGAAAACTGAATCACCTAAGCCCGAGCATAATAATGCAAGTCTTTAATGATTAGCATATCTAAATCATGAATGCCTTGCGACACATTTTCCAGAAAAAAAAAATTAACTTTCAGTATCGATTTTTGTAATTGGCCTTATTACAAAATAACATATGGCCTTATGTAACAGAATCTACAAAAATGATCCTTATTAATGATCATACCTGCATAAATAACATTTACTTTATGAAACACCAATAAAAACATGCTATACAGTATGTTTTAATATTTAAATGGAAATTCAGAACTACAGTATGTGTTTAGTTATGTTTAGCTTGAAAAAAATGGAACAAATAGAGGAAGTTTTGCATTGAAAAAGCATAGTTTTGCGGCCAAGTACTGTACAATAGCCATTAACTATTGAACAGCCAAGGAAAATAACATTGTGCTGCAACACGATTGTGGACAGCAACAAACTCCAAACAACAGAAACCACTTTTATATTTTTTTAAATAAAAAGGAGTGATCTTTTTTTATCTCATACTTTAAAATGATTCAGGGAAAACATAGCACCCAGTTTCTCCATTTTTTTTTTCAGATTTTCCCCTTACCTAGCCGTTTCATGATCAGTGGTCCTTGACCTGACTTTTTGCCCACAGAGTTCACCCTTGATTTTAAAGTTTTTTTAGAACCATCGTTGCACACTCTCCCTTCCCATTTGTTTTTTTTTTTCAACTAACTAATGTCTTTGTTTTTGATTGGCAGGAAAAGAAGCCCATCAGCATCCAGGGATCCAAACCAAAAATACGACCAAAGGGAGGAGAGGGGTGACCGTTCGCAGTATGCCCCGGTGGATGGTGGGATGCCCAGGTCACCATCCGACTACGAGGAGCGAGAACCGCGGAGGGTACCACGGGGCTCGCGGATGTACGAGGATGCAGAGGCGGCACGGGGGGAGTACCGGGACCGGCGCGGACGGCGGCGGTCCCAGGAGTATCCCCTCGACGAGGAACTTGACGGCCAGCAGAGCGAGTACGAGACGCAGCGGCAGCGGGAGGAGGAATACCAGGCCCGCTATCGCAGCGACCCCAATCTCGCCCGCTACCCGGTCAAGCCCCAGCCCTACGAGGAGCAGATGCGCATCCACGCCGAGGTTTCGCGGGCGCGGCACGAGCGCCGGCACAGCGACGTCTCGCTGGCCTACACCGAGCTGGACGAGCCGCAGGGGACCGTGACGCGGGGCGACCGGCAGTCGCGGCAACGCTCCACCACAGAGAGGCGGATGCCCATGGAGAGCCAGCGCTCCTACTCTATGGAGAGAACTCGAGAAGCCCCCAGTCCTGGCCAGCGGACCTCTAATCACAGCCCCCCCACCCCACGTCGAAGCCCTGTGCTCGGCGAGCGGCCCGGGGATATGCGGCGCGGGGGAGGGGGGGATACCATGTGGAAGCAGCAGCAGCAGCAGCCGCATCATCTGGACCCCAGCTCCGCCGTGCGCAAGACCAAGCGGGAAAAGATGGAGACCATGCTGCGGAACGACTCGCTCAGCTCCGACCAATCCGAGTCCATCCGGCCCCCGCCGCCAAAGCCGCACAAAACGAAAAAGGGAGGCAAGATGCGGCAGGTGTCACTTAGCAGCTCTGAGGAGGAACTAGCCACCACCCCGGAGTACACAAGCTGTGATGACGTGGAGATCGAGAGCGAGTCAGTGAGTGAAAAAGGTAGGCTTCCACCTTTTGTCTGGGCGAGTTTGATGATGAGCTCTGTTAACTCTGTGCCCTTAAACTTTAATTTTCTTTCCTTATACTGGGAGCTCGGGGGGGGTATAAGAGTTAATCTCTCTGTAGGCTGCTTAAAATTGTTGGAGACTATACAGTGTACAGTATATAACTATCATATAACTACTGAATATAACTGAAATCATTCATTTGCACTGCTTAACTACAGTAGTTGACAATACCTGCATTTTGTGTGACTAATACTTTTCACATTTTTTTCACAATTGTTTGATATTGCTGTTTTTTCTTGTTCTCATATCCCGTATCCCATTGTGAATTATAATCCTTAACACCAAAGGATTTGTTCAAAGTGGTTGTTGTTATCTTTGTGTTTTCAAGGGCTATTTTCATGTAGAATTTACTATAAAGCACAGTGAAAACTATGAAAATGGCTAATTTATCTTTGTTACGATCGCTGTAATTTAATTTGCAAGATGACTAGATAAAGATGTTTTAACCTCTTGTTAGATTCGGTAGTATCAAGATGAACTAACTGTCTGGCGAATGTATTAAGTTGCTACCAGACCTTTCAATGCACTACAGGAATAACTACTAAGGTACTGTAACTGCTATCACTTGTAAGTGGCATATTTTTTGCAAACATACATTTGAATAATAGTATCTTAACAAAGTTAATTGCATGCAACACATGTCACTGTATACTATCATGCACAAGTCTCGAAACCGTCGTTCATTTCAGCCATCAGAGGTGTGCAAACCCTCCTCCCTGGCCTTCCAGTTCACTCACAGTTCTGATAGCTCATTGCCCTCTCTTGTTGTTTACCCCCTGGCTTGTCCTGTTCGGCTCTTAAACTGTCTGATCATTCACAGCAGCTGTTTCGAGCTGGATGGTTTGTGTCCCAAGCCTTTAGCCTCTGTGGAAGGTCCGCTGTCCTTTTCATTGCCCCTTCGCAGTGGAGAATCCCATCTTGCACACATTGTTCTTAATCCTTTCTCTTAGGTTCACAAGGATTTTCCCCTCCAACTCCTTGACTGTCACAATGTCTTGTGTTGTAAACTTAAATATGAGCCATCAGGTGGCTGTGGTAATGAAGGGTTCAGATATTATGACTTCGGGCTTCATTTGTTATACCTGGGTTTGTAAACTACTTGTTTCCAACAGTCATACAGTCCGATATTGTGGGTGCACTATGGTAAAACAAAACAGCAAAGCATCTTTTGATTTCACCTACAGTAACATGACTTTTTTCAGAGATAATGGTAATTGGAAAAGAGTTTATATTCTGCTTTAGTATTGTATTTTAACTATTGTCAGTATCGCATATTTAATTAAGTGAAGTACAGGAAATGTGATTAAGAGTTTGAAAGAAATTATACCGTTCCCTCCTGAATTCTTTTAAAGCCTCCTAGAGTGAGGCTCAATTTGATCAGCCGAACTATTAGCATTCAGTGGCATTCCTGATTTTTTAGTTTCCCTTTGAGTTGCTGGTTCCAGAGGCTATGAGCAGATCATCTTTTTTGCATAAAGAGTACTATCCAAAGTGCAGTGCTTTATTTCAGTGCTGATGACATTGCTTTAAACATCTAATGAATCCTTTTCCCTGGCAGATGCTGGATTGTACAAAACAAGCACCATTCAAAGCAGTATATTTTATGACTCAATGTATAAATGATCACTAGATTCATTTTTGATACATAAGGAACTGAATATTAATCACACTATAACACATACAGTAATATACACAGAATTACAGCTATTATTCTAATACGTTAGCCCAAAAAACAAATATAAAAGATACATGTTTTACAATCTACTCAAATTTAAGCCCTTTACATTTATCTTCAGACAATGCAGCTAGTGTGATCTTCATGGGGTACAATATACAGTATAATGCCCAGTCTCATACAAGCAGGTCCTCCCCCCTGTTTAGAATAAGCACATGCTAAAAGAAAGGTTAAATTAGAAGGTTCTTCCAGACAGCAACGTTAACCTTAAGAAGTACTCTACAAACCTTTCTGTTTATATAACTTAATGCTGCTGACTGCCGTTGTAATTGCAAATTGATTTTGTTGTCAAAACCTGTAATTACACGCTGCTACCTGGCCATGTCAAATGATGAAAGGAAAAGAGAACCTTTTGCCTTGTGCATTCAAGGAAGGCTATGCCACAATAATGAAAGGGCAACAGAAGACTGAGAAAACTAGAGAGAATAGTAGAGCTATATTATGTAACCCATAATGCCCTCATCACAAAAGCAAACGGAATTTAAATTATTAATGCTAGGGCTTCCCTGTTTTAATGTCTGTACAGGGGAAAAAAACATTCTGAGTATTGGGTTTTCAATCAACTTAATCTTTATTTGCAGTAAAGAAATAATAAGAAAAATGTTGGTTTTGTTTTCATTGCCTCCCTCTGAAGACAGGCTTATATCTTCTGCTTTGTACTGTTATTTGTTTTCTTACTGATACTTTTGCATGACTAATTGGACCCAGGAATAAAACAAGATTGTGCATTGCTAGTCTGCCCCAGCAAATAGCAACGCCAATGCCACATTTCTTTTTCTCTTGTTCTGATTTTATCATCTGTACACAATTCACTGCGACAGTTTTTGTTTAATCCATAACTTATCCATCACTGATGATTTTTCACCTCCCCACACACACAAACGCTTGAAAGGAAATGTCATTAACGCTTTCAGGGCTGACCTTAGAAAAGCTTACTGGCCAGACTCTCCCAAGCAGTTTTGCACCACCTTACTTCCAAAATTATAGCATACTGATTTTCAAATTTAACAAAACTAAATCAAAACATCTGAAAAATCATTAAACTTCTGTTCTGGGTCTTAGATTATAATTATTATTTTTCCCCAGAAAATGTGTTCTCAGAAGGTGTAGCTTGTCACCATCATTGGTCTTATTTTCCTGAGAGTGTGTATAGTAAGTGGAAATAAGTAGCAGTCCCAAACGTCCCAAGACTATTTAGTCCCAAAAAATAGGACTTCACCTGAAATAAACTAGCTGTTGAAAAATGCCATGAAGTGGCAGTAGCAAAATATGTTAACAAAGTAAGGTCAATAACAGATTTGTTTTTTAATTCAATTCTTGTGGGTTCTGGAATTTTTTGTTAAACAAATGTCTTCCAAGTCTCACCAGGAATATTTATCGAGAGAAAAATGTTTTTATTTCATTTTTCAGTGCTAAAACATTGTGTTCTCAGAAAGTCTTGCTTAGGCTATAAATTGAATTACCTTACTGTTTCAAATCAGTCCCTTAAATCATACGTGTCCTCATTATGTAAGATCAGCATGATGAAATTGTCAGGTTCTTCACTAAAAAAACAAGGTTAACGTCTTTAATCAGGTTAGAGATCCATCTGCTTGACTTTCTGCCTTGGAGTCATCCATTTCTATTGACTTGTGGCCTCCAATGTATTTCAGTCTGCACTTTTTGCCTGTTAGGCTCTAAATTAAATGTATTTAATTACACTAGACCCAGCGATAAGTCTGTATCAAATCCTTGTTTAGAGTTGTTTAGAGTTGGGAGGGACACCTCTCATCCAGACTAGAGTCACAGAAGCTCATCAGGCCAGAGATCATTCTGGTTTCTGTGGCATTAAGTGGACTAGAATTGGATACTGATTCATCATAGGGATCACTCCCCAGCAATACTTATCTTATACCTGTATATTATAGCTGGGTAGATGGGAGCAGCTGAGGTACAGTACCTCACTCAAAGGTAACAGCAACAGCAGTGCTTTCTGCATATGATCCCAAATGCTTACTCACTAAGTCACACCAACAATCTTGTAAAGGACAATAAAATAATAGCAGACAAAAAGATTGACTCATATGAGACATACAGTATACAGTGTTGAGAAGAGCACACGTGGACTCTCTAGATTGGTCTGAATTCTATCATATTTTAGACCTAAAACATAATTACTGTAGATCTTTGACAAACCTTTAATAATAAATGAAGATAAACTGATTAAACATATACTGTGGCACAGAGACATGGGATATATTTAAATTAATCCAACTGTAAATATCATTGTGTGAATAAGTTCCTTAGATGCTGTAACTGTTGTGGTACTGTACCTCCTTGATCAGAAATTAATTACACTGGAAGTTGCCTATAACTCTTTCTCAGTCATATCATATTATTTTTAGGAATATTGGCCCATTCTTCCTTATAGGACTGCTTCACATCAGTGATATTTAAGGGTTTCCTTGCAAGGAACACCTTCCTTCACCATGTCTTTCCTTGATGTTTCAATTGGGTTTAGTTCTGGACGACTATGACTTAGCCAATCCAAAATGCAACATTTTTTCTTCTTCTTTAGCCATTCTGCTGTTGATCTCCTTGTTTGTTTAGGCTCATTCTCTTGTTGTATGACTTGGTTTTAGCTGGTGAATTGGTGGCCTGACTTTCTTCTCCAACATTTGCTGATACAATGCTTTCCCATTAGGCACTGTAGGCACGGTGTAGGCACACTGCCTAGGGCCTATGAAGGAGGGAAACACTAGTGACTAACGAAAAACGAGCTGAAACAACATGCTTGCAATCGACCCTAGGTGTTCCAAATCAATAATCATACACTCTCTAGCGGCTATTCTAGAAACTAGAAGTATCGAAGTGAAGGTCGCTCGAATCGCTTCATCAATCACGCGGTTCAGCATTAGAATAGTTTAAAATGCACCATGTCAATCGACGTCATGCAGTTGGCGTTTACCCTTCTTTTTGCACATTTCAGAGTGAAAGTGCCCAAGGTCTACGATTACCAAAATCCGGCGCTGATGCTGATTTAATGTTTCTGTCGATGATGGTAACCTTTCTGGGTCCTGAGGCAGCATTGCATGTCCTTAGCTATTACACGGGAGTTATTTGTGACTTTTTTGGATGATTATCCAAATTGACCACTGGGAGATCTTAGCAGACCAAACATGTGTGTAGAATCTGGTCTTGAAATTTTTTTTGTTTGT